AGTATTATTTTTCGAAGGTTCCCCTTTTTTAGTTTACCAAGTCCAATACTATTATTGGCAATAGTATACCATGCGCCTAGGGCCTAGGCCTATGCTAGCAAGGCAACCTAGGCGCAGGCCTAGGCATAGCCCTAACCAGACTGAACATGCAGAATACTTGGTACTAGGCTAGGCCTATACTAGACTAGCCTATGCCTGGCCCATGCCTAGGCCTAAGGCCTAGTTTATAGGCCTAGGCCCTATATACTACTAGGCCAGTAGTAAGGCATGCCTAGGCTAGGCCTAAGCTAGCAGTCGGAGAGCCGCGTTTGTCATGCAGTATCAACCATTGTGAGGATGCATGTTATGGAAAATGGCTGGATTTTAACAATTCAGTATGCGTTGAAAATTTGCTTATTTTGGCCTAAATGTAATATTAACTTGTTTCAATATACTAAACTGCAAGAATGAATGATGATTAAAACTACGATTTAGTTTGTTTATATATCGATATTTTAGACGTCAATAGACCGAATTAGTGATCAACGCTGTTAGCTAGTGTTGAACCAAAACAAATGCACAAAGATAGGCGAGTTACACAGTAATTTAAGAAAATAGACTTTACTAAAACGTCTCATACACGCTTTGTGTGTAAAGTTGAGCATGATTTAAATTTACAGAAACCATTGTTACATGTTTATGAATGTAACGTCATCTTTTCTCTACGATTGTGTATGCCAAATGTGAAATATAACAAGAATAAATCATACTATTTTGGGAATAACGTACATTGGTCGTGTCTGCCTGTGTAATACAGCACGCCGATGGCAGCCGTGTATTCACAGTGAATCATGGCATCATTCAATGAATGTGCTAGTTGCAAAACTCATGAAATGTGTTTTACTTGCAGATTTCAAGGAGAGCTAAGTTATTTAAAATTATTGAATAATGCTCCTAAATTCACACTAATAACTTTGGCAGACTGGATGTTTAAACAAGTAAAAGACTTGACGACAGCACGAAACTGAACGTTTACAGTCAGGCCTCACTCAATCATCACAGCCATGTCGCGTTGTCATGGAACAAGTGTCAGCGGCCAAGGCCTAGCCTGTAAAAACTCTACGTATATTTTAACTTAATTTTACATGAAATCAAATTAAACGTCTTCTGATGGTTCTATGAACCGATCCTTAACCTACCAATGTTTCAAAAAGTATTTTACCCGCGTACTTTGGTTTTTTTGCTTGTTTTCCTGGACCATACAAAAACCCGCAATATATAGAATATAACCCGTTATAGAATAGGACTTTTAGGCATTGTTTACAATTTTATACACACTCGGCCAAATTGTCATGACGTCATCTTTCGTCGCTAATTTGGTATATTAAGCATATAATTTTTTACAAAATGACAAGTCAAAAATCATTAAATTTCACGATTCTAAGTGAGGTACAAAAGCAAATTTAAAATCTATTTTATATTAACAATTAAGCTGTTCATTGAAATAAATAAGTACCTCCTGTGTATCTTGGGATGCAATTGCTACTAATCAAACCATTAGGTACTCTTTGTATGAGTCGACAATTCATGTACATTCATACAAGATTCTTGTTTTCAAACTTTTTTGATGTGTTCATTGTGTACATTCATATTACAGTACATTCAATAATATGTTAACAAACAAATAAAATCAGATGCAATATAATGTGCTAAATTAATTTTGGTACTTTAAAATATTTTTCATTGATAATAAGTTATTACACATAAATGATTTTGAATATTTTGTATAATACTAAAACATATTTTCTGACTGAGGATGAAGCCTAGCTTTTTTACGATGCATTTTCAAGCGGCTGCTAATCGCGCCTCGCTGAAGTCTGGATCGTTGTTCAGGGCCATAGGCCAAGATTATGGTTTTAGCAGGGTACGCATGGAGATACAGGAAACAATATATATTATAATATACTAGTCTAGGACTATATATACAGTGTTTTTTATTAACATAATTTATCTAATTTCTAGCCAACCTTTTTTTAATTCCAGACAAATATTAGGCTGCCACCTAGAAAGTCTAACCAGCTAGAGTAGAAACAAGACTGAGGTATTCTAGGCTACTTCTAGCCTAGCTAGGCCGCCGTACCCTATCTTACATTTCATTTAATACCGACAATATTTTAACAATAGTTCAGTCACTGACTGTCGATATACAGCAGGGAGGTATACCCCTGTTATGGGAAGGGGAGGGCAGGGTAGCCTCTAGCTAGATAGGCTAGTTTTATATATTTATCGCTTATTTATGCAGTATACTCATGCTGATGATCCACTGTTCTTCCATCCAGGCCGAATTACACTGTACAATGGGCCTAAGTGTTACTAGGCCTAGCTACAGGATAAGACCATTAATAATCCTCAGCATTTCACAATCAATTAGCTTCATTCTTGTTGTCATCATCATTCTCCTCGTCATCATCATTTCCACTGTTATGTCATGATCCATCTCATTTTCGCCAAATAAACTTTTCAAATCGTCACAAAGTTCCATACTCGTCTTCTTGCCAAATACTAGTATCTGGTCTTTTAGGTTAAGGACCTTTAGGTACCACATTTCATTTTTCAAAGCTTCTTTTTTTTTTAGTTTCAGATGTACAAGATTTCACAAGCCTTTCAACATCTAGAGCATCTTTACATGGACCACCTTGCTTATGAACACTTTCAATTATGGACTGTTTCGTTTTTCTTCCTAAAGTTTTCGCTCAATTTTTCTTTTACTTGCTTTTCCACCTTTTTCTCCTGTTCAAGATGATGCTTTCTTGCAAGTTCTGCCTGTTTTCTAGCCCTTTTCAGCAAGATGCTTTGGTCAGCCTTCGACTTACAAGCCAATTTGAAACCGTTTTATTTTGTTTACACATTTGAATACCTGAGTGAATATACAGTGAGGCATGCCTCCTTCTAAACTGTGAGAAGTCCAAATCACCAAAACATACTCTGAAACAAAGTTTGTAATTTTGCAATGGGACATGGACTCTCGCAGTTCATCAGAGGCATGCTCTCCATATTTTCCACCTGGTAGAAAATCATCCAACTGCTTTTCAGTTACAGTTACGAAGCCCTTCATTAGTAATTTTAAAACATTCATTGTAATATTTTCGTACATATTTTCTTCGTTACAAAGACTTTCACACACAATATTATCAGTTATATCAAATTAATTAAATATCCCACTACTAGATTTCTTTAACAACTCTGAACTATCTTCACACCAATCCACAAAGCAACTGTGTGCATTTTCTGAATATAAATATGCACATCAGCATAGTTCACCTGGCTTTTCAACATTCGCCAAAAAGGACCTGTTATTTTGTAATGTATAATTCCCAATGCCCGAACACAAGCTTGTAAGTGATCAGAAAGGGCATCACAATACACACTATCCTGTTTTAGGTTTTTTGATTCTTTGAAATCTCCAAAAAACTTGACAATATTCTTTCGATGATGATATAATGCCCCTGCACCTTCAAAAAAATTATTGAGACGATTCATTCGAAAACTAATTACATGAGACTTTTCACCTTTGCTACTACAATAGCCCTCCCAATCAGCTTTACAACCATTCTTTTCATCTCCTCGTGGGCCCAGAATATCACAAGCCGTTCTTACATATCATGCTGGACCAGACTCGCCAGATGATTTATTAAACCTACAAAATTTTGTAAATGCGTCTCTGCCTATTAGATGAACGTAACTCAGCTTCTAAACTTTTCACATAATCTTTCATAACCGCTTCTGCTTTGTTTGACAGGCCTAACAAAAAGTGGACATTGCAGTACAAAAAATGGAGATCAATTGGTGTAACAAGGGTTTCAATTTTTTTGGCATTTAGCTTCTGATTAAATTATTTATTTACACTGGCTCTGTCAGACATTTAAGCAAACATTTTGGCCAGTATTGATTTATATATTTCTTCTCTATTTTGAGGATCTAGTATGTCTGATAGTTCTTCCATCATTCCTGTTGCGTTTTCTAAGAGAGTTTGGCTATCTTTGATGGCTACATATCTGACTGTCTCTTATACACATCTAGATGTGTATAAGAGACAGGGGACCAAAGGCTTAAACGTCTCATCCGAAAGATGGTGCGCTATAGTAACTTGTATTTCAGCCCTCTAGCTGAAACACAAGGAGAGGCAGTGATGGGAATTGAACCGCGGACCTAGAGATCTCCACGGTTCAACGCGCACACACAGTGGCTACCACCAGGTTAGCTGACTGAGCTAAGCTGCTCTCTCTGAATATTTTCATAAGTCTCGTACAATAACTTTTGTACAGTGAATATGAATATCATAACACTCGTGGGCCCAGAATATCACAAGCCGTTCTTACATATCATGCTGGACCAGACTCGCCAGATGATTTATTAAAGCTACAAAATTTTGTAAATGCGTCTCTGCCTATTAGATGAACGTAACTCAGCTTCTAAACTTTTCACATAATCTTTCATAACCGCTTCTGCTTTGTTTGACAGGCCTAACAAAAAGTGGGCATTGCAGTACAAAAAATGGAGATCAATTGGTGTAACAAGGGTTTCAATTCTTTTGGCATTTAGCTTCTGTTTAAATGATTTATTTACACTGGCTCTGTCAGACATTAAAGCAAACATTTTGGCCAGTATTGATTTATATATTTCTTCTCTATTTTGAGGATCTAGTATGTCTGATAGTTCTTCCATCATTCCTGTTGCGTTGTCTAAGAGAGTTTGGCTATCTTCGATGGCTACATATCTGAAACCTGTGGACAATGATAAACCGGAATCAATTGTCACCTGCATGCCTACCATTTTTTTGCCGTTTCTTCCAGTACCATCACTATGCAAATCCCATTTCTCAGTTAGAATTAATTGTTTCAGCCACCTGCAATTTGCTGAGATAGTGGGCCCTATCTGCCATATTCTTAACCATTGATGTCGATGGTACATGTATGTCTTTTAAATTTATTTTTTTATTAAACAACCATGATGACACAGTCTTAATGACCATAGAGCATTTGTTTGTCGGCACATCCCAGCTCCCCAACCAATTCCATAATACATTTCTCAATGTCCTCAGTAAAAGAGTGACCATTTGTTTCGCTCCTTCTTGTTTGCATCTCCCCATCAGCCATACATACATTTTCAGTCTCCAGTTCAACACACTGACATTTCATCCGATTCAGTTCTTTCATTGCCTGCACTTTTTTGTTACTGTACAATTTACATCGCTTTCTATACATACTTAATTGACTTGGAGCAGATTTTAAGTTAGTGTTTAGTTTTTCAATATTATGTGCGGTATCAAATTTAGCCAGCTTTTGGTTTATGCGGTTTTCCTTTTCCTTTAGATACTTGCCTCTCCGTTTCAATTTCCGGTACTCATTTGTATCTTTATACTGTTTTGAATCATTCTTTGCAGCTAACAGATTAGCAGTCAACTTGTTAACATTAGTCTGTAATTTTCGTACCTTCTTACAACTATATTTTAAATCCTTTTCTGCTATTAAAAGCTTGGTTTCTAAAACAGTTACCTGTTCACACTTTTCCATTAGCATATCTTCATAATTGTTAATCTTTTCATTTAAAGCAAGTATTTTGTTTTCATTCAGCAAATTTTCTTCCACCTGCATTGTTGGTCTATCAGTATTATTTAACAGTGTTTCTTCTTTTGATTGCTGGCCCTTGTGAGATGTATTACCTTTGTATTAAGGTGGGGAAATCGGTGATTAAGTGAGGGGACTGACTCGAAAAATAAGGTAATTTTACATGATTTTTAACATGAGCATGATTTGTGGACATGACTGGGGGAGACAGGCGAGTATTTTTTTTTAGGGGTGGGGACCATCCTAGACATGCCAATACCTAGCATACCATGCAATTTACCCTACGGTCCGCCACTGGTCTTGGAACATTACCTTGATGTCTGTTATTACATCTTGTACAGGGAACTATTGATTTAGACTGAAGCTTTAACAATAAAAGAAACTTTCAGTTTCTTCAGATAATCTTTATCAAAATAAATAAAATAATAAACAATAACAACAACATGCTCATTATCCTAATAAATGGTTTATGGTCATGCATTTGGAACTTCGTTACATTGTCTGATTCTAAATACTGCAAATGCCTTTGTTCAAGTGAGCTTAATATTCGAGAAGTGTTACCCTACCTCAATAAAAGTATGTTTTCTGGAATGTTATGAATTGACGACATTTCAATTTTTTGACTGACAAGTCCATTTGTGATAAAATTGGAATTATGCTATATTAAAATTATGCTATCTATGCTAGTATAGAGATGCTCCAGCCTAGAGATAGGTAGGAGGAAAGATTAGGCCTAGGCCTTAGCCCTATGCAAATGCGATGCAGGTGATATTCAAGAGTGGTTATGCATGTTTGGGGAGGAGAGGGGAGGAAGGGGGTGTGCTACATTCAGGGGTTGTGCCAGCGGGCCGGGGGGGCCAGGGCCCATTTGTCGGGGAGAAAAAGCACAATTCGTCGGGGAGAAAAAAAAATTATATGTATTTTCTACATATTATTGGACTAAAATCGATTAAATAAGCCTTTGAAACCCCTAAATTGTCCAAATTTTCAGGGGGCTTTGCCCGCAGGACCACTTTCGTAACCTTTTAATTGAAGCTCGACCACGCCCACTTAGGTTTCGTCGGGGAAATCTGACCCCCCCCCCCCCCCCTGCCCCCCCCCCCCCCCGTCGGGCAAATCATCGCGCCGCCTCTAGCAACATTAAAGAAGTCACCAATGCCGCTGGCTGAAACACAAGGCCATGATGGAGAAAATTAAGTCAGACAAAACGAAGAAAGCATACCATCGCGCAACATGCCAACGCTTTTCAAGAGAAGTATCTTCCAAGTATATAGGGACACTGGATGATGCTGGTATATTTTACGGCAACAGGATCGTGAAGAAAGAAAAGAAAAAAAAAAAAACCAAGGCAGCAGAGAATTGAAAGCACCGTCTGGATTAAAATAAGAGACAAATTTGAGGTGGTATTGCCTTCAGATAAGAAGAAAAACAGGATGACTCAGATGAAAGTCGTAATACTGTTTGAGGCAGCAAGCGATAACTTTCTTCTTCGAATTCCAGTTAACGTATTCCACGCACAACATCGATTCAGGTGGCAGATGGAATGCGTTCCGCTAGTATGATAAATGTAATTCGATGATGTCAGAATGCATAACAAGCCCTGAATTTTGAAAAGTTAATGCATTCGACAAAATGTAATCAATCGAAAAGCACATAATATTCAGCTGAGAAATACGTTTGCTGGAAGTACAGGGGAACCGTGCCCTGTGCTATAAAATATAAGATGCAGTTAAGAAAGAAAAAAAAAAGGTTAGCAAAAAAAGTGTGTTAACGGACCACGAAGGTGTGGTTGAAAGGGCAGAGTCGTTTGTATAAAACGATACACGGTAAAGCACAGATTGTTTAAATGACTTATTACAACGTGGAGGAATGACATGTTTTTACTACTAGGATCTGATAGAAAAGCATACAAGCAAATCACTAGAGGAACGCAAAGAAGAGATTTTTTTTCCACTATGTGGATTCGACAGAAAAAAAAAATTTGATCTCGCTGTTAGCTGGGAGGACGCGATGGATGAATGAATGCCGATGCGATCTATGTACAAGGTTTATGTTTTTACGAGGACAAAGCGAGGCAGTATCTTCGACAAACACTTTGATCATACAAAGTCTAGATTAGCCTTCAAAGGTCTCTTTTCTTCTTTCTCAGGAAGGAAGAAGGTAACACTACATTTAAGACGGGCAAGAATCAGTTAACGTATTTCACACACAACATCGATGGCAAACGGAATGCGTTCCGCTAGTATAATATATGTAATTCCATGATGTTAGAATGCATAAAAAGCACTCTCTGTCAAAAGAGTTTGTTGTATGGTCAAGTCATTTGTGAATTTTTTTTTCTGAATAGTGGAAGATATTCAGAAATTAAGTTGTCTTTAACTACCTTGCTAAATATTGGCATATTTTGCCTTCACGTATAGGCCTTCAACCTCTTCTAACAAATTGAATAAAAAAGTTATTATATGAAATTACTGTCTATCCCAAATACAATATTCGTATTTAAATACAGTATTATTATTATTATTATTTAACAATTCCTTGAGTATAGCTATTGGTAATCAGTTACTATAAATTAATGCCTGTTTGTATGATATTTGTTTAACTTTAGAGAAGATGTTGTTAGTTTTGTAAGTGAAATTTTGTATTTATTTCTCTCTTTGAAATGCCTCTCTAAAGAATTGAGATTTTGATAGTCCACTTGAGGTGAAAACTCTATCCAAGATGGATGGTGTTTTTTTTTTTCAAGCTTAGTGTTCTTGGTGGAATGGAACGTAAGGATTAATGTTGTCCCTGCTTGTGGCATGCGAGATCAAATCAGCAGCTGTTGATTATAGTAATCCGAGATATTCAGGTTTTTTTTTTACAATTTTATGTAATCTATTTTTTATGACATAACCCCTCAGTGTTTATATTATTATGTTTCCACTCTCTGGTAGGGTTTGCAATCGACAGGTTTTTTTTCTTTTTTTTTCGCGTTGGACATTGAGTCAGACTTAAGTTTAATAATAACAAATTTGGTAAAATGACTGAAGATGAACATCAGCCTCATTATCTTTTAAATCAAATCCAAACTGATTAAGAATTAACATTTAATACAGAGTGACCAATTTGCACTTTTACTGATGCCCTAATTTGAAGTCCTTGTAAGACTTCAAGAACTGCCACATATTCTGCATATAGTGATTCAAGATTTAGATTATGTTGATACATTCTCTGACATTGAAAAGATAAAAAAACAAATTGTTTATCATATTTATGGTTTTTTTTTGTTTTTTTTTAACAGATTGTGTATAACCAATTTCAAATTTGACATTACAATTTCTAGATTTTGTATACTTAATTCAATGATAGGCCTATCTACTTTTCTTAAAAATAAGGCAATGATAATATATTAACTATAATGATATTATTTGTATTGGTAATACTCTAATATATAGTATACAAAAAGTTCTAAATAATACATTAACATTACTTTTATTGAGTATATGACATGCCTAATACAAAGGTGTAATACAAAACATTATTGTAAAACGTACATTCAGTCGGAATTTAGGACTCCTTCGGGAATATCTTAGTTACTCTCGTAAATTAAATGTACGTCTGTACAGTAGATTGTTATCTGAAAATCTACATAATATATTCGAAAGTGTCCATCACTAATCAAACTCATGTTTGGTTCACCGCCATACATCGTCATAGCGTGGTGGTTAACCTTTACTCAGCAATTATGCAAGTTTGTTTATATCCGTTGAAGTATTGTACTATTAAAGCCCATGTGGCCTACGCAAATCTTATGGGTCACTACCTGAAACACAATCTGTACACTTATTTCTACCCCCCACCACACATACCTTTCAAATCTACTACTGTACACTTATGACACCTTGTCGTTAGCAACATTTATAATTCTTTACTATAATAACATGAATATGTACAATTTTATTTTCTTGAGTTGGCATATTTCAGAAAATCTATGGCATGCTCTTGAAAATTGTTATAAGTTCTTGATTTGCAATGCAATATTTTTTTTGCTAATTTTCAAATAATTAAATTTCATCATCTTTAACATAATGAATACTGTATAATAAATTCTAATCCGTAAATTTACTGTTCTGTGATCTAACATTTTTGTGTGTATTCTTATTTGGTGACTTGTGGCCAAAAACTATGTTCAAAATCACTGATAGAGAATTGCTCAGAGATAAAACAGCTTCAGTACAATTGAAGTATTGGGACATTGGAATCTGACAGATTGATAACCAAGAGATACAAGGTGACAATAAATGACTGGCTTTGAAATTTGCTTTTGAACAATTGAACTTGCAATAGAGACATGAGAAATATTTTTCCTGTTGACACATCCTGCAGATTATAGCACCTTGTGAATTGACAATTTTGAGATGAGATCAAGAGGATAACACACTTGCGCTTTAGTTAAAACAGTGGCAATGTATTGTACAGTACAACACAAAAATTGGTATCTTTTGAAAAATCAAGCCAATGGCAAGTGCCTATAGCCTGCTGAAACTTGTGAGAGTTTATACAAACATATTTTTATATTTGTCAAAATGCTGTTCACGATAAACTAAAATCAATAGATGAATTTATGGGGAAATGGTTGGAGATTAAACATCCATAATAATGATCAATATCTTGGACTCAAGACCAACCATTCCAGCATTTGTACAGTTGGTAAAAGTTTAATTGGCTGCATTCCTAAAGAACTGACTTGACTTTTCATATGCAATCCCATACTGTAAAGACCTCGCAGTGCTTTTGATTCAAGATCAAATGTCTAGCAATGATGGTATAATATAAAATTTGGTCATATTGGATGTATACTGTACTCCGAGATACTTTAGAAGAATTTGTCATTATGCTGATTATGGCTAGCAAGATGCAGTAAGTGGACATTTTTTATTTATAATTGAAACATGGAAAAGCAGGGGAGATGACTGAAACTGAAGTTTTAACACTGTCACCAAGTGGTATATTTGTTCCAAGAAAATGAGATACCATGATCACTG